GTGCAGTAGTCGAGCTCCGCGCCGCACTCGATGAGCGCCCGCACGACCTGGGCCTTCCCTGACATGGCTCGCTGCTCCGGCGCCGCGCGCGCGACGGTCTCCGGCGCGTAGTCGATGGCCATCATCAGCAGTGAGATCTGCGACGGCCCAAAGCGATGGCGCGGGGCGTTGAGGTCGACGCCATACGCGTGGAAGATGCGCACCATGCCGGCATCGCCGCGCACCACCCGATCGAGTACGCGCGAGTTGTTACCCGGGAATCCAACATGGACGCCGCCCGCACCCACCGGGAAGATCGTTTCGCCCTCGTCCAGGAGGTCAGGGAAGGGCAGCGGCAGTGCGCCCGCCCGGATGATCACCCGGGCCGTATCGAAGTCACATTCGCGCAGCGCCTCCATACTCGCTGCATCGCAATCCGCGCCTGCTTCCACGAGCTCCTCCACCGCGCCTGGCGCGCCGTGCCTAGCGGCGAGCAGCAGCAATTCCTTGCCTGACGCCTGCACCAAATGCATCGAGAGCCGCCGGCGCAGCGAGGGCCGATCGTCGGCTCGAATTGCGGCCTCGCAGGCGGCGAGCGTGCTGACCGCCACGTCTGCGCTCGGCGGGACGGCATTCGGCTGGAGCCCGTAGGTCCACGGTGAGTGGCATACCTCGCACTCATGCAGGTGACCCTGCTGCTGCCAGCGCACGAGGCACTGCGGATGCACAAGCCGGCGGTCGCCCAAGCAGCCGCACGGTGCCACCAGCCGGGGATCGGCTTCCTCTCCAAAGCAAATTCGACACGTGCCTGGGAAAAACTGATCGGCCGCTCCAGCCTCTACCGCTTCAGCCTCCATCTCGACTGGCTCTGGCGCCTCGGCAGAAGACTCCATTCGCGCGCGCGATCAAGGCGGCGGCGCTCCGCCGTCGTTGAGCGCGGGACTCTCGTGCGCCGGGTTTGGGACAAGCGCTGGGAGGGTATGGTGACCGAGCTACCGCCTGACGCATACCCTCCTGCCTGCGCGCCAGAGACGCTTGCCACGGCAGCACTTCCGTATTAGGTAACCTCGAGCTGCCCGACCATACCCACCTACATTTTGCCGGCATTGACACCCTACCCTACCTAGCACGTGTCCCAAATCCCGAGGGTCGAGGACGCCACGTGTCTAGCTCTTGCATGCAGTCGATATCGACCGAGCCTCCCCCCAGCCGAGCTGTCGGCAGCCACGCCTCACCTGCTGCAAACCGACAAGGGCTGCCACGTGTCACGAGTCGGCGCGCCGCCTCGGCCGCCGATGTGGCTCGCTGCGCCGACCCTCGCGCGCGCGACACCAATGCTCTCCTGCACTACCGCGCCCGCCGTGCCGTTTGTCCTCCGCCCGCCCCCGCCGTCCGAGATGTCCTGCCTGCCGTCTGCTTCCGCCGCGCTGCCTTACCGTCGACCCTTACCGTGCCGCACCGCCTTCACACACACACCTTACTTTCTGCTCGACCGAGTTTGCGCTGATGAGCGAACCGAGCCGCCGGGTGCCCCGCAGCGGCCTCGCTGGGCCAGAACATCGGCCCCGAGTGCTCCGCAGCAGCCTCGCTGGGCCAGAACGTCGGCCCGCGAGGTGGGGTGCTAGTCTGGGACCCATACGTGGCGGTTCCCTTGCTCCAAGCGCTTGCGCTTCGGCGGTAGTGATCTAATCACCCGAATACCACGTTCGGATCGCTCCTCATCGCAAACCCTGTCAGCAGTTCACCTACGGGTATGTTCGTAAGAGCTACATACACTGAAAAAGAGGCAAGGCAAGCATGTGGGTCCTGCTTGCTACCGTAGTGCCCGCGCATAAACAGCTGCGGGGGCTAGCGAATCACATTCTCCATGGCATGTGCACATCTTTCACCCTGGCGCGCCATGTGCGCGCCGCCATTTTCACCACCGCCGCCGTCGCCGCCCTCGCCTCACGACGTGACCTTAAAGAACTTGTCGAAGCTGCGCAGGCCAGCCAGTCGTCGTCCCGGGAGCAAAAACTTTCCGACCGACTACTTGGTTGTCTCGCCGACGGAGCGTGACGTTTTCAAGGTCGTTCACGACTGCCATGCTAGTAGCAACCCAAGCAGCGATGGATCGATCATGACGGCTGGCTGTGGCGCCTGCATCTGGAGCTGCACTTGCTGGCCTGCGGCGGCGTTGTCGTGCCTTTGCTGGTTCTTCCTTTTCGCCTCTGGCCGCTTGATCTCCTCTTGCGGCACATCGCATTTCTGTCTTCTGTGTACGCGGTACGAGTACGCTCACATGCACACAATTTCACACGACTGCTTTCAAAGGCGTGTACAGCTTTACCAGGAGCCAGTCTTTTTTTGTGAATGGACCGGCGGATAGATGACGCTCGTGCACACCTAGCACGTCACGAGGCATCTGCGCGCAAGGGACCGAGGCCGTCCTTCTTGTACTTTCGGAGAGCGGCACGGGCACTCTTGCACTCTTGCTTGTGTGCTGGCCAGTGGGCAGCCTGATGCTCGACACAGCAGTACCGTGCTTGGTTGCAAGCTGCGCAAAGCTTAAGATTGTCGGAGGCGCCACAAAACGCACACGCGTTTGGTACAGCACGCAGCAAGCCTATACAATCGAGAAGCTTAGAGGCAGCCTCGTCAACAGGCTCGCCAACGGCAGGTGTGGGGTTTTTCACTGCGGCTTTTGCTCTAGCTTTGGCAGTTCGAGCAGGGCTTTGGCCATCAAAATCTCTGGCGTGCGCGTTGCCGCCAGCTGCGATCAGCCTTGCTAAGATCTCTGGGTGCCCAGCGACGTTGACCCCACCGCCGCTAGCTCGGTGCACGGCAGTCTGACCATGATTATCGCGCCGGTTGATGTCGACGCCCGCTGCTATTAGCATGTCCACGCATACGAGATATGAAGCTCCTTTATGTTTCTGGACCATTGCTCCACTGATGACCTCCATGAGGGGCGTCGTGCCAGTGTTAGAGCGCGGCAGTTCTGGCGAGGCGCCCGCATGCAGCAATAATCTGACACATTCTTCATTACCGCGCGCGCATGCCCCTAGAAGCGCGGTGCCAGGTTGCTGAAGGGTGTTTGTCGCCGGGTCGGTCAGATCGGGATCAGCCTTGCGTGCCAGCAAGAGTTTGACCAAGTCAGTATGGCCTGCTGTTGCGGCGGCCATGAGCGGCGTATAGGTAAATTTTGAGAGCTCTCTCCACGTCAACTCAACGTCCTCGGAGTCAGGAATCTTGCCGCCGCCAAGGCTCGTGCCATTCGCCCAATCGCAAAGGCAATTGACATCGACCCGACGGTTGATCATCCTCGTAGCCGTATACGCGTTGCCCTGAAAGGCTGCCTGGATTAACAGACGTGCTTGCTTGGTTGCAGCCGCCTCAGCAGCTGTCTGTTTGGATCCGGGCAACGGGTGCGCACGCGGCAGAGCCGGGCTCACGGGAGTAAGTTCTTCGACAGGCGATTTGCCAGCCTGCTTGGCGATCTTGGAGCAGGCCCTTCTCGTCGCGCTCAGGCTGAGCTGTTCCCATTCTGGTTGTTTGCTGAGCACGGCGTGCTTATCTCGAGCGCTCATGTCTCGAGGAAGGCTCTCCAGCGCCTCGCGCAGACGACGGTCATTGAGCAGCACGGCGGCGGTGAGGTCCTCCGGCTCGGCCTCCAGCTCGGCCTCCGGCTCTGCCGGTATCTCAGACCTGGAAGACGATGCTCCAGCTCCCGGCCCGTCGTCAGCATCGGTCATCCGAGTCCCGAACAGCATTCGTCACGCCAAAAGAATTTTACGAGGAAACTCCCTCGCACAACACTGGGCACGGGACTGGCGCGCACTGGCACTAACACAGGTACACCACGGGAGCCGCCTCGTACACCACTGGTGCGACACTACTGTGTCTGTGACAGCTTCACGGAGAGACGCTTGGAAAGACGCAGAGAGACGGAAAAAATCATGCAGCAAACATGCAAGTGAGACAGGGACGAAACACCCCCGTGAGACAGAGAGACGTCTCACCAAAATTTAATTTTATTTTTCTCCCTGGGCATCTCGGGAGGACGACCCCGGCTAGTGGCCGACCACACCCACAAAGAACCCTGCACAAAGATCGCAAGGGCGGGGACCTGTTCCTTTTTACCCATCTCACAGTAGAGGTGTCCGTTTTTATTTATTTATTTATTTATGGGCATTGTACGGAAGGTGACGTACTGCGGACGGCCTACGGCGGGACACACGTGCCGCATCGAGAGACGTACATGTACAGGGCCGCGTCGCAGCATTTTCAGGCGGCGCGAACAAACAGACTACGAACCGCGCAGGGCCAAGGGCGAGGTGGAGATGCTCCTCCCCTCCCCCTCTCTCTAGGAGAGCGCCGGCTCGACGCTCGCGGCCCAGCACGCGAGGTCAAAGGGGTAGGACCCGCCGAGCTCCTCGGTCAGGCTCGCCGGCTCAAACTGCCGGTACAGCGGCTCCCTGTCGGCGCCGTTGAGGACGACCAGCCGCGCCCTCAGCTTGGCGCTGAGCAGCATCCGCACGATGGGCAGCAGGATGCGGCCGACGAACCAGGGCGGGTTGTACACACACAGCTTGCCCAGCCGCACCGGCAGCCGCGGGAAGACCTGGCCGAACATCAGCTTGGCGGTGGGCGGGCTGATGTTCTTCATCCGGAGGCCCGTCATGTCCTGCAGCACCGCGACCCCGCACCGCGCCGTGTCCGCGTCGCGCAGTGCGTGCAACATCACCGTCGCGGCCGCCCGCGCGAAATCTTTGGGTGAGCTCACCTTGGGGTCGTGGAAGCGGAAGCGGAGCCACAGGATCTTGCGCCCGGCGCCGTCCGTGGCGCCCGTCATCACAAACTTGCCGCTCGCCAGGTCGGCGGCGAGCCGCGGGGTCGGCGTCGCGAGGTCGAGCTCCTCAATCAGCGCGAGCAGCTCGGGCAGGAGGGCGGCGGCCCGAGCGGCGTCGTACTTGCGGCCTCGCAGACACATGAGCTTCAGGTCTGCGCTCGCAGCCTTGGACGGCGAGCCGTCTGCGAGAAGGTCCTCCATCGCGGCCAGCGCCGCCTGCTCGTCTGCCGAGCCAGCCTCGATTTTCGGCGGAGCCTGGTCGTCGTCAATGACAACCTTGCTCGTGTCGAGGCCGCGCATCTCGCTCGCCGTTCGCAGCGCGGTGCTCGACTCGGTCATGGCTTCTTGGCGTCTATTAGCTGGAGGCTTTGTTTCTGTGGGCTTCCCGTCGCTACGCTTGGGGCGTATCGGAGAGCAAGATGAGTAGATGACACTTGCGCGGACAGATTTCTTTTCGTGTCGTGCGACCGCCTTGTAAAATTCTTTTCGAGGGTTTGCTCCACAAGTTCCCCCTTGTGGAGCTGGTTCTTGTGACACATCGTGTTCTCGTTTTTATCCTCTTCCTCTGCGCGAGCGCGGGTGGCCCCCTCCCCGCCCTTGGCCGCCGGGCGGACCGGGCCGCGGCTTGGCGCGGCGAGCGAGGCCGATCACGGGGATGGGGGCCGGTGAGGATGGATAGCGTTCGTGTTGTTGGGCTCATGAACGGGAGGGAGGGCGGCACCCCCCGTTGGCGCTCCGGCCGGTGTGCGCTTGGGCACGTGGAGTTTGGATTCGGGTACTTTGATGGTATGGTATCTGTGCATTTAAATGGAGTATGCACTTTCACACCCCTTGGGGTGTTGACGACCACTTGCGGTCATTACGCACTTGTGCGTTCACGCCCCTTGCGGCGATCGTTTCACAGTGTCCCATCGACTGTTCAAGGAAAAACGTGACACACCCTCTCTGGGTAATTTGCGGACGGAGCCAGCCCTCTTGTGGCTTCGACTCTACACGCTATTTCGACAAGAGTCCTGGACATGTCTATCAGAACTTCCCTGGGGTTGCACAACAACAAAACAGGGCTCCAGGCCCCAAATTACGTGTGAGTGTTAGAGTTGTTTGGTATTGTATTGCTAAAAATCTCTCTCTCTGGGGTTGGGAGCCGCTAAACATAATTCCCCGGGGCGGTCGCCGCTGCCGCCCCCGGGGCGTCGCCGCTGCCGCCCCCACAAGGCGGTTTCGGCAAGTTTCATTATGAGTCGCCAGTTCGAACTATGAGTTTCGACTCTCGGGGCCGCAGCCGTTGCTGCCCCCGTCCCCCCCTCGGGTTCGTCAAGCGCCCGCCGTTCAAGTTTCGGGCGCTTATACCTAAGTGAGAGTGTGAACGGGACTACGCCCCTCCCTGAGAACGAGCAGTTCCTCTCTCTTTCGAGCCCTAAAAGTAAAAAGGCGGGTATAGGTGTAGAACCCACAAGCGGAGGCTGCCGTGGGCCGTGGCGCGAGATGCAGATCCCAAACAACTCTATTCTCTCTCTCTCTCTGGGGTGCAGAGTGGAGGAGTGCAAAGGAGGCAATCGCGGATGCAGCGGGCACGCGAGGTGCCGGCGAGAACGGGAACGGCAACTTCCATATGTTTGCAGAGGCAGCTGCGGCGGCACGAGCGGCCGCTGCGAGAGAAAAAGGACGGTGAACCGCCTTTCTTTTTTCGCCGCCAATGCCTGGTTGTCACCTCTCCTGCCACCTGCGAGCTCCCCACTCTTTCTTTCGGGTATGGAGTCCGTGAGTGCGGGCAGCGTGCAGGCAATCACGGGCGCTATTCTGTCGTATTCCTCTTCGGCGAGCGCTCCAAATCTAAGGGACAAGGAAAAGAAAGAAAGAAAGAAAACAGAGAACCCAAACGAGGGATAGGGGAGGAGGACAGGCACAGGGTCCACACCTGCACGAGCAGGAACCAGGATTTTGGAAGGACGATCAGGGGGACAGGTGGGCTCTCCTGCTCCTGACAAGGGACACGGATAATGAGAACAGGAAGAATTTTCTCACCTTTTTTTTCACAAAGACCGCAGGGCGGGGACCTGTTCCTTTTTACCCATCTCCTAGTAGAGGAAAGAAAGAAAGAAAGAAAACAGACAACCCAAGGGAGGGATGGGGACGGCACGCCGCCACCACACAGGGATTTTAAGGAGAGGTGTGTGGTGCGCTAGCCGTCGCCCACCCTAGGGAGTCTGCCTCTTCCTATCTCTCCTAGTAGAGGTGTCCGTGTTATTTATTCACGCACCTTTTTTTTGAGCTTAGCCTTCGATGTTATGAACAAACGCAAGGCGGACATGGCATCCTTTTTTTTACAATGGCTCGGCGCGCCGCCGTGCTCTCTTTCGGTCTCCTCGCCTGAGCGCTGGCTCGCGCTTACTCCACAAGCTCACCCATGCCCATCACCGACAACCACAAAGTGCTAGCGGACCAGGTGAGCGCTCTGGCCAAGCGCGCCAACGAGGCGGGTGCCGTGGCGAGCGCGGCCGCTCTCTTTGAGGCGGCGCACGCTCTCTCCAACGACTGGACGAGCCGCGTCTCGGCCGCAAACATGCGGCTCAAGCTCGGCGACGCGGCAGCGGCCTGCGCCGCGTACGAGAGCATGCTCTGCGACGACGGCGGCTCAGCGATGCCCGACCGGATCAGGCAGCTCACCGAGCGCAAACGCGAGGAGGCGCTCTCGGCGCTGGCTGAGGCGGAGCGGGGACAGAGCTCACGAGCATCGTTCTGGGCCACGCTGGGCGGTGAGGGCGGCGGCGGCATCGCGGCGAGGACGACGACAGTGGCGCAGCGACGGATCGAGGCCCGCTGGCGGGAGTCGGAGCCGGCCGCGGCGCCCGCCACCGCCGACGCGCTGAAGGCGGCAGGCAACGCGAGGAACCAGGCCGGCGACGCCGCGGTCGCGAAGCTGCTCTACTCCGCGGCGTACGCCCTCTCGGGCCGGCTCGAGCTGCGCCTGTCTGCGGCCAACATGGAGCTCAAGGAGGGCGGCCCCGCACACGCCGCCGCGGCGCTTGACGAGTACGATCGCATCGCCGCCGAGGCGACGCTTCCGAGACACGTCCGAGACTTCCAAGACACCTCCGAGACACATCGCATCGCCGCCGAGGCGACGCTTCCGAGACACCCCCGAGACGAGATCCAGCTTGCCCCGCAGACATGCCACACCCGCCACACGGCCGCTGCTCTGGCAGCCGCTCCGCTTGCATCGCCACCGCCCACCGCCCACCGCCCGCGCCCCACCAACACGCCCGCCGAGGCAGAGGCCGTCGGCGGCCTCTGCTCCCTGGTCCCCTATCCCGGAGCTTTACCGGAACCGTCCCGTAGGCGGAGGCCGTCGGCCGGCCTCTGTCCCAGGCGCACACCTCCCTCCTCACGAGGAAGCGAGCCGAGGCAGCGGCGCAGATTCGACCGGCGGCGGCAGCGTCCGCCGTGGACGTCTCGACCACTGCCGCCGCCGCTGCTGACGCCGTTGCCGCCGTCGACGCCGCAGCCGCTGACGCCGCAGCCGCCGCCGCTCCAGCCGACGACCCCGCCACCGCCGCCGTTGCCGCCGACGCCGCTGCCGCCGCCGCTGCCGATGCAGCCGCCGCGCTGCAGACGCCCCCGCGCGGGCCGCTGCGTCGGTACTCGACAGCGGGCTCCTCGGTCGACTGGGGCGAGCAGGAGGCGCGCGCCGAGGAGGAGGCGGCACCCCTCCCCTCCTGGCGGGACCCTTGTCCGGACCCTTCTCGGACCCTTCCTGCAGGAGCGCGCCGAGGAGCAGGCGGCGCGGGTGGAGATGGCGGCGCGCGCGTCGCTGGGCGAGGAGGCCCCCGCGCCCGTCTCGCCGGTGGAGAGCAAGACGAGACGAGACGAGAGGCGAGATTTGCTCCGCCAGAAGAGAGACGGCCGTGATTAGGCTTCGCCGCTAGAAAGCTTGCGCAGCAGCGAGAGCATTCGCAGCAGCGAGAGCGTCGCCAGCGCGTCGGCCTCAGAGATCAGCGCGGCCGAAGCGAGCGAGGCGAGGCTGGCGGCGGAGGCGGCCGAGGCGGCGGCGGTGGCAGAGGCGGAGGCGGCGAAGGCGGCGGCGGCGGCAGCAGTTGCTGCTGCTGCGGCGGCGGCGGAGGAGGAACGGGCGGCGGAGCGGGCGGCGGCGGAGGAGGCGCGGCGTGCGGCGGCGGAGCGGCACCTCGAGTACATTGTGTCGGACGAGGCCGCGGCACGGGAGGCGGCGGAGGCGGCGGAGGCGGCGATTCGAACGAGGGAGCGCGCGGCGGCGAGGGCAAGGGAGGAGTCGGAGGCGCGGCTCCGCAGGAGCGTGTTGCGTCACAGATAAGCACACCGGCTGCACACCGGCTGCACACCGGCTGCACCTCGGCTGCACACCGGCTGCACCTCGGCTGCACCTCGGCTGCACCTCGGCTGCACCTCGGCTGCACACCGGCTGCACACCGGCTGCACACCGGCTGCACACCGGCAGCACCTCAGCTGTATCTCGCGCGACTCTCCCCGCAGGATCCTGCCTCGCGCGTCGGCGGCGCGGCGGGCGGCGGCGGAGGCGGACGAGGAGGAGGCGCGCAAGACGGCGCGCAAGACAGAGGCGGAGGCGGCGCAGCGGCGCGCAAGGGAGGAGCGGGCGGCGGCGGTCGGCCAGGCGGCGGCGGTCAGTGCGGCGGTTGCGGCGGCGCGGCTCGAGACGGAGGCGGCGCGGCGCGCCGAGGAGGAGCAGGCGGCCGCACAGGCGGAGTCTGCGCGGAGGACGACGGAGGCGACCGAGGCGGAGGTGCGGAGGGCGACGGCGGTCGCGCTGCTGGCAAACGGCCGGATCGGGGAGGCGGAGGTGGCGGCGGAGGCGGCGGGGCTAGGATCGAAGGTGCCGGCTCGGCGTGCCATCTCGGAGGGGGAGGGGGAGGGGGAGGAGGAGGACGCGGTGGCGGACGAGGTTCTGTCGCCGTTTTCCCGCGGCACGCTGCACGCGCTGGAGAGGCTCAACACGGCGCTGCAAGACTCGCCCCGCAGCTCATTCGCGCCGCCGGCAGGCCCCGCACGCACGCAATCACAAGAGGCGCTCAGCGCCGCAGAGGCGGCGATGGAGAGGCTCAACGCGATGCTCGAGGCGGACCCACGCAACCCTCGGGGCGGGAGGCGGGTGCGATAGCGTGTGCCGTGTAAGAAGTTGCCGTGTCTCGTTTATACGTAGGGAGCTATGGAGAGAGGTAATCCTATGATATGTCTGTCATGTATCATCATCATGTCGGCATACACAAGTCTAGTTCACGGTGCGTACAGGTAGGTCAGGTACACAAAAAACACATACACAAGAGACAAGTCGGTGCGGACTCGTGTTGAACACGTGAGTTGTGTCAAAAGTAGAACTACAGATCCTCAGCCTCGACCTCGGCCTGCTCGCGCGCACGCTCGAGGGGCGGGAGCCGCTAAGCCTCGAGGAGGGCATCGAGCTCGGCCTTGATCGCGCGGCGCTGCTCAGCTCCGTACCGCCACTTTTTGGTGAACTTGACCCACTCCTCGTCGGCGCCCGCGGCTGGCTGGTCGTCCGCTGCCCACGGCTCGCACGCCGTGCGCAGCCGCCTCACCTCGGCGTCGAGGCCGCCCATGCGAGGGAGCAGCGCCTCCAGCAGCGCCCTGCTGCGGTCGCGAGTGAGGCGAGACGCCGCCGCCAGCTCGTCGCTCCCGTTGTCGATGTGGACCTGCTCGGTCGCGGTCGACATCGCCACATTCATCGTCAGCAGCTTCAGATTCGGGTCGGGCGACGCCTCGATGGCAGAGAGGAGCTGCGGGTCGAGGGGCGGGCAGAAGACGGCGTCGTACGCGGGGTCGGTGAGCAGCGTCACGAACCACCCTCTAGCGCCCGACGTGGTGGAGATGAGCGCTCGCAGCACCTCGACCGCCTCGGCCGGCATCTCCTCGCCCGCGGCGCACGAATCGGCGAGGATGGTAGCCAACCGCCTCCCGAGGACCTGCGCGTCCTCAAACGAGGCGGTCGCTGCGCTCTTCTTGCTCCCCTCGAGGTCAGCGCGGATACGCGCCTCCTGCTCACCGGCGGCCGTGGATAGCAGCGGCGCAGGCGCGCGCGCAGTGAGAGCGGGGTTAGGCGAAAAAGCCCTGGGCGATGTGACGATCAGACCAGGGCACGCTAGCAATGCCAGGACAGCAGCGACCATCCTCCGGCAAGAATTTTACAAAGAAGAAAAACCGCGACATGGCCAATGAATGTTTTTCCCCATTTTCGGTCATCCGTCAAAATATCTGAAGATCTGAATGGCGGATTCTCCCCAAACCTTGCTCAGCTGATCCAGCCTGGGGGAAAGGCCAGCCCTGGGCAAAGAAACCAGCACCTCATCAGGCTTCCCTGAGCGTCACAGCTCGGTGATCGCGCCGGCCGGACACCACTGTAACGTGGGCGGTGCAGGCTGTCTGTTTACAGGCGCCGTCCGCCCGCGCGCGCGCCGACCCAACTCCGAGCACGCTCGCTCGCCGCTGGGCGGCGCGCGTCCACACTGCGTCGGCAACACGACGCAGGAGCTCGCTCACTGCTGCTGCGGCGGCGGCAGCGACGGCGACTGCGAGCTGACGGCTGACGGCTGTACGGCTGTACGGCTGACGGCTGGCGGCCGGCGGCTGCGGCGAACGGCGACGGCTCGGTTCGCGTTCGCCCCGCGACGGTGCGACTGAGCCTGCCACGCTCGATCTGGGAGCCACTCGGCGCCAGTTCGAGCGGCGGTCGGCTCGGCCACTGCGGGTGCGACGCATGATAGAGCTGCTGGGCGCCGCATCGTGTACTACCGACCCACGCCAAGGCGCGGGGCGGTGGTGCTCGCCGGCGCTCGCGGTGCTTCGGTGCTCGAGCGCGCTCAACATTGTGGTCGTTCAGGGCGGCTCGCACAGCGCCCGCAGACACACACACACACACACACACACACACACACACACACACACACACACACACACACACACACACACACACACACACACACACACACACACACACACACACACACACACACGCAACAAACAACAAAACAAACTCACACGCAAGGGCGAGGACACGCGCAGGGGCCGCACCTCTAGCGAAGCCCACAGAGTGGGAGACTCCTATCACCGCCCTGCCACCCACGTGAGCCTTTTGGCCGCCTCTGTCAGTGTGCCCGTGGTAGTGAGAGACTGCTGGTGAGAAGCCGGAGGAAGGTCGCTAGTCGAGAGAGATCGCCAGTGGAATAGGGAGTCCACGGTGCTGCGAGCCTGTCGCTGTCCCTTGTCAGGAGCAGGAGAACTAGGAGAGCGCAACCAGTAGGAGGCCCGCGCCTGCCCCCGTGCCGCCGGGTGCAACCTGTCCTATACGAGAGAGGAATCCCTGGGACCCTGTCGTGTGGGTGAACCCTGCCCAGCCCCCCTCCGTGTCGCGATGCGCTCCCCGCTCCCGTTCCCCTGTGTCCCTGATCGTCCTTCCAAGATCCTGCTCGTGCAGGTGGGGACCCTGTCCCTCTCCCACCCCTCGTTTGGCGTGCCCGTTTTATTTATTTATTTATTTATTTTTCCCCATTTTCGGTCATCCGTCAAAATATCTGAACTGAATGGCGGATTCTCCCCAAACCTTGCTCAGCTGATCCAGCCTGGGGGAAAGGCCAGCCCTGGGCAAAGAAACCAGCACGTCATCAGGCTTCCCTGAGCGTCACAGCTCGGTGATCGCGCCGGCCGGACACCACTGTAACGTCCGTTCCGGGCATTTGAACGCGACCTTCGGGGGCAAAGACATTGGCTCTATGGCTCAGACTGGACTCCTCTTGGTCCCTTCTGATGCCCTAGGCCATACCTGTATGGCCTTACCCGGGGTTCTAGGGGGCGGGCTGGGTTTGCCCCCCAACTGGCACCTTAAAAAGAGCCGAAAAAAAATTCCGCCGCCCCACGGGATGGTGAAGGGCACATGCGTAGAGAAGTGCGAGGGTGAGAGGCACTGGATTTCCAGAGTGCTCGCGACGGTCGGGAAGCGATCCCGCGTGGCAGCCCCGATGTAGGCGCACCGCCTGGCACCCTCACTTCACCCTCTCTGCTGCATGTTCGAGCTGTGGTTGGCTCTGAAGCAACTTGGCCGACAAAACTTTTCTGTCAGAATCGTCGCAGAAGCAGGACGGCCCGCTGGCAGGAGCGGAGCCGGTCGGTTTCCATTGTCAAGACTGCGCGAAGCGTTGTCGCGGGGCCCAGAGCCGGGGGCGAGGCGCTCGGCTGTGGTAGGCAAGTGGGCGAGCGCCATTGGGCGGCTCAGCCATAGGCACGTCGTAAGGAACGCGTTGTCTTGAAAGTAGGCGCACGTACGTCCTCTTTCGTTTTCACAGCAGAGCCAGGCTCTGTGTGTGAGGGCTGGATGCACCAGTACTCCGGTGTGAAGAAAGGCTACCGCCCCGCTCGTACCTCGCGGGGCTATCGCTCACGCTTGCCGCGGCTCGCCCCAGCATCTCGGGTTGACTCGGCCAGACAAAAACCCCGAGAGGCGTGGGAGTACCTCGCCAGGCCGCCGCGGGTGATGCTCAAGCTCATCCTTAGCTTACTCAGTCCAGCCACTGCTGTGAGGCTAGTCACTACCACGACACTGCCGGCCGTCTCCCCGGAGCGTGCCATTCGCTTCCTCTCGACTCCATCAAACTGGCCGATTATCGTGCTCTCCTCGTGGGCGGTACGCGGCACTGACATCGACCGGCCGCTTGCGCCCGGAGAGGCGGTCGACGAAATATTCGGCTTGCCGCCGCTGCTGCCGCTCGAGGTGTCTTGGACCTGCACGTCCATCGGCGAGTCCACCGCGGTGTTTGACTCTCCCTCTGGCCTCGCGGGCGTCGCAGAGAACTGCCAGATGGACTTTGTGGCGGAGAAGGACGGCGCCGGAGGCTCACTGCTGCGGCTCGCTATGTCGTATGAACCTCTCAGCCCGCTCGCAAATGCCGCGGTGCCTCTCCTCACGCTGGACAATGCCATCGCGCTGAAGCTGCTGCTGCCGGCCAGGCTGAGGCCGCCCGGCTCCTCGGACCCGGCCGGGGGGCCGCTGGCCGCCCTCGCGCGCCGCGCCGGCCTGCTGCCGGACCAAGACGGCAAGACCTAGCTGAGGCGATCTAATCCGATCACTACACATAGCACAGCGGCCGGCGTCTCCGCGCCTGGACTTTCATGCGCCCGAGCTGGTTGATTCGGCGACGCTCGCACGACAGGGAATATATCGGTGGCAGATGGATCGCAGATCCCATCTCGGTGAGCTCAAAAAAATAGCGCGCTCTCTCCTCTCTCTCTCTCTCGCCTTCACCACACTACTCGCAAGCATCTGCAAGCCCAAGGGCTCTCATACGTCATAGCGCGCTCTCTCGCCTCTCTTTGCCCCCAGAGTTTGCCGCGCCTCGCGTCTGCGCCGCCCAACGCCCCGAATCGAGACACGTCCCGCCGGCGGCCGCACCCGCCTCCGCCCTTGCCCCACCTCCCTTCTCCTCCAGGGGCGCTCTCTTCACTGCATGGGGAGCGAGTTGTAGATCGGGAGGGCCACCGAGTTGGGGCAGCGCAAGTGCAGCGCCTGGACGTTGCCCCACTTGCCCGGCAGCAGCGCGGCAACCTGCGGCGGAGGAAGGGGGGAGGGGGGAGGGAGGGCTCGGAGAGCGGTCGCGACGGTCGCGGCGACACCGCGGCCGCAGGGAGGACTACGTGGCGGGCGGGAAGCGAGGCGGCGGAGAGGAGGGAGGGAGAGAGAGACGGCGGGGAGGAAGCGAGGCGGCTGGGCACCGCATCGACGGCGGCGAGCACATTCTCGGCCGCGGCGGCGGGCGACATCGACGTCGCGGCGACGGTGACGGTGGAGCAGGTGCCAAAGGTTGGTCGCACGATTGCGCCGCCGACCGCCCGCTGCAGCGCGTCGCGTAGCCCCTCCTTGCGGCCGAGTCGCATCGGCAGCGGCAGCTTGTTCGACTTGTAGAAGCCGTTGCCGAGGAGCTTGGGGAGGAGGGGGGTGACGGCTTCGTCGGCGGCGAAGAAGTCGTACCTGCGGGGGGAGATATGGGGAGATATGGGGAGATAGAAGAAGTCGTACCTGCATGTGGGCGCGTGTCGGACGGCGTCATGGCCCCGCGCCCTGAGGAGGAGGAGTCAAGAGAGAAGGGGTGGGGGAGGAGGAGAGAGAGCAGGCAGAGAGGAGAGAGAGAGAGAGGAGAGAGGAGAGAGGAGAGAGGAGAGAGGAGAGAGGGGAGGGAGGAAGAGAGAGAGAGAGAGAGAGAGAGAGAGAGAGAGAGAGAGCGAAGGAGAGAGGGAGAGAGAGAGAGAGAGAGAGCGAAGGAGAGAGGGAGAGAGAGAGAGAGAGAGAGCGGGAGCGCTGCACCCCGCGCGCAGTTGCCGCTTCGCCTCGTACGGAACATACCTGTGCGGGACGCGCGCAGGGGACATGTGCATGACGTGTCTGGCGCAGCGGCCACCTTGCCCTCGCGCGGAGGAAGCACTTCTTCCGCAGCTTGTCGATGCCGATCACCTTTGCCGTCACGCCCTCGGCCGCGCACGCGTCCTGCAGGGGAAGGTTCCGAGAAGGTTCCGAGAAGGTTCCGAGGAGGCCCCGAGGAGGCGCCGAGGTCGCGTCCATGACGGCAGCGCGCGCGCACCTTGACGGCGCGCTGCGGGTCCTTGACGATGAGGCAGACCTAGAAGGTTCCTAGAAGGTTCGTAGAAGGTTCCTGCTGCGGGTCCTTGACGAGGAGGCAGACCTCGGTCTCGTCGAGCGAGCGCCTGGCAGGGAGGGTAAGGACCGAGAAGGGTGTGGGGGAAGGGTGTGGGAAGGGTGTGTGGGAAGGGTGTGGGTGTGGGAAGGGTGTGGGAAGGGTGTGGGAAGCGGTGTGGGAAGGGTGTGGGAAGGGTGTGTGGGAAGGGGTGTGGGAAGGGTGGGAAGGGTGTGGGGGAAGAGGTGTGTCGAGGCGGCTGCGGCGGTCTCCGGGAGCAAATTGAACTGGGAATGGGCAGTGAGTGGGGTCGAGAGG